AGTGTTACGCTTACTTCGGTGTAGTGGGACTAGGTAGTATATTTTACATTTTACAGTGTTAGCTTACTTCGTGTAGTGGGACTAGGTAGTATATTTTACATTTTACAGTGTTAGCTTACTTCGTGTAGTGGGACTAGGTAGTATATTTTACATTTTACAGTGTTAGCTTACTTCGTGTAGTGGAATTTTACGGTTTTTATCCGTTAAGAAGTGACTAATTTTATCCGATTACTCGTGTTATTCCAACTTAACAATGTGGGTATTTTAAACCAGTTGTCAGGATTTGATGTGAAGTCATTTACTCATTACTAATGACTTCAGGTGTTTGAATAATATGTAAGTATCCTGTCACAAGTCATAACTGTTCAACTTATTGTAAACTTATTTTTTTTTCTCAATAAAATGGGAAGCTTCAGTGAAGAAAAGAAATAATTCATGACTGACACATAAGCCTAATCTATGTTTTTGTTTCACTACTCACTACAATTAGTTTAAAAGCTGCTTGTCTGTTGTAGTTGTTTTGGAGAAATTTTGGTAAATTAGTTTCCCAGATACTTTCGTAAAATATATAAAAACAACCAAGTGAAGTTAATAATATAACACACAATACGTTAAACTAACAATACTTAATATTCACACTTCATTTTAACACGGTACGTAATATATTAAAGCAACAATACTTAACATTTACACTTCACTTTAACACGGTACGTAATATGTTAAAGCAACAATACTTAAGTTGCTAAACTGCATTGTTATATTCACACTGTTACTAAACTGCATTGTTATATTCACACTGTTGTTGAACTACATTGTTATATTCACACTGTTATTGAACTACATTGTTTAATTCACACTGTTGTTGAACTACATTATTTAAATCACACTGTTCATAAACTACGTTGTTTTATTCACGCTGTTCATAAACTACATTGTTTAATTCACACTTGTTAAACTACATTGTTATATTCACACTGTTGTTGAATTACATTGTTTAATTCACACTGTTGTTCAACTACATTATTTAAATCACACTGTTCATAAACTACATTGTTTAATTCACACTGTTCATAAACTACGTTGTTATATTCACACTGTTGTTGAACTACATTATTTAAATCACAGTGTTCATAAACTACATTGTTTAATTCACACTTGTTAAACTACGTTGTAATATTCACACTGTTGTTGAACTACATTGTTTAATTCACACTGTTCATAAACTACGTTGTTATATTCACACTGTTGTTGAACTACATTATTTAAATCACAGTGTTCATAAATTACATTGTTTAATTCACACTGTTCATAAACTACGTTGTTATATTCACACTGTTGTTGAACTACATTATTTAAATCACAGTGTTCATAAATTACATTGTTTAATTCACACTTGTTAAACTACGTTGTTATATTCACACTGTTGTTGAACTACATTGTTTAATTCCAAGATATCATATTTCTGTTGGTGAAATTTTAGCAGCCCCAAAATAACTGGGTGATGAAGAAAAAAATAATTGGGTGAAGAAGAAAAAAATAACTGGGTGAAGAAGAAAAAAATAACTGGGTGAAGAAGAAGACAAAAATAATTGGATGAAGAAGAGAAAAATACGTGAGGGATTCCAGAAGAATTTAATAGGGCTACTTACAACATTAATGTTTTTCTTATTAGGGACCCAATGACCAACAAAATAGTGGACCCACAATGAATTTGGTGAATAAACAGTTTTATAACACATGTTTAAAAACTTATAAGGGTCCACCTCGATTAAAATCATCTCCACAAGCAATTTGGTTCATAAATAGTTTAGAAACATGCATGGGGGTCCATCCCCCTGTCGATAATTTAGGTGGCTAGCCACAGTTTATTGAATACTTATTCCTGCTTTATCTTTAGGAAAAATGAGCATAGCCTCTTCTCATCTGGTTTAAAAGTGAATCCATTTAACGCAAAGCTGGATAACAACATGGGAAAGGTTCTGGAAGCCCAACAATTCCACGAGGAGGCGCTGAATTACTACAATCAAGCCATCAGGTCGTACCTTGTTCTTATTATTTTTTTTGTATTATTTACGTATTGTATTTTTTGATGGTAGACTTTCAATATTTTATTGGTTTTAAAACTTAATTATTATTAGTTTCATCACAACTATGGTTTTTACAACACTAACTGTCAGTAGTTTTTGTCTTTGGATCTTACCTACTTTACCACAACTATGGTTTTTACAACACTAACTGTCAGTAGCTTTTGTCATTACATCTTACCTACTTTACCACAACTATGGTTTTTACAACACTAACTGTCAGTAGTTTTTGTCTTTACATCTTACCTACTTTACCACAACTATGGTTTTTACAACACTAACTGTCAGTAGTTTTTGTCATTACATTCTACCTACTGTATCACAACTATGGTTTTTACAACACTAACTGTCAGTAGTTTTTATCATTACATCTTACCTACTTTACCACAACTATGGTTTTTACAACACTAACTGTCAGTAGTTTTTGTCATTACATCTTACCTACTTTACCACAACTATGATTTTACAACACTAACTGTCAGTAGTTTTTGTCATTACATCTTACCTACTTTACCACAACTATGATTTTACAACACTAACTGTCAGTAGGTTTTGTCTTTACATCTTACCTACTTTATCACAACTATGTTTTTTACAACACTAACTGTCGCCCCCCCAGTGGCACAGCGGTATGTCTGCGGACTTACAATGCTAGAACCCGGGTTTCGATACCCGTGGTGGGCAGAGCACAGATAGCGCATTGTGTAGCTTTGTGCTTAATTACAAACAAACAAACACTAACTGTCAGTAGTTTTTTTGTCATTACATGTTACGTTTTTCTTATTTTGTCTTTAATAAAGTTTAAAAAGTTGCTGTGTGAAAAAATATTATATTGAACAAACGTTGTCTTGTATAGAATGCAGCCAAACGACGTACGAGGGTTTCTGAACGCCGGTCGTATTTTAACCTGCTTGAGACGATACCAAGAAGCAGAAGAAATATATTTAAAGGTAAAAATATAATTAGATTTTTTTTAATAAAGTTCTATAGTTTAATTTTCAAAATAATTCGTCCGTTTACGTCGATGTTCTGAAAGGAGAATTGAAACGACGAAGGAAATGAACTAACATTAACGACTTAATCGTCTGCAGTTAATTTGATTTTTATCACAAATTTTTAGGCCTAATGGATAAATTTTCTAGTATCGCAGAATGTGTTTTGAGACACACACGAAGAATAAAAAGTTGAGATAATTGCTTTTAAAAGCAATCCGTAAAAATCAAAAGTAATTTTATTAGATGAAAATTATTTTAGCCCTTTTTCTTTACATAAATAATAAACATTTCACTGTAGATATATGTAATATAATTCTTGTTTTTTTTTTCTTTCTCCTTCAAAATGTTTTGTTGAAAACATCAACACTATTTCGTTTCAACAAATGTTCACGTTTTCTTTTGTTGTTTATTTAGTAAGATTAATCACGTAAATTTGAAAATGTATTGTAACGCTAGTGATGTTTATTAGTTAGTCCTCCTGTGCGACAGCGGTAAGTTTACGGACATACAACGCTAAGATCCAGGGTTCGATTCCCCGCGGTGGACACAGCAGATAACCTAATGTTGCTTTGTTCTAAAACACGCAGTTCTTCCGTTTGTCCTCCGGTGGGACAGCGGTAAGTTTACGAACCTACAACGCTAAGATCCAGGGTTCGATTCCCCGCGGTGGACCCAGCTGATAGCCCGGTGTTACTTTGCTCTAAAACAAACAAAGCAATCTTATCAGTTGTGTTTATCCTCTTCATCTCCACTTATCACTAAATAACCTTCTCTGACTTTTGTGATTAGTGATCCTATCAAAGACGAGGCCGGGCGTGGCCTAGTGGTTAGGCATCCGGACTCTGAATCCGATAATTCATGGTTTCTTGCGATCTATTCCTGTGAAAAACGCGTTTCGCACCTTGGCGCTTTATAAGTGTGAGAGTCAAATCTCACTATTCGATAATACCAGAGTAACCCAAGGATCGACGGAAGCTTTTGTTGACTAGTTGTCTGTCTGTCTGTTGCTTAGGTGTCGATTCCTTTAGTTTATTTGAAGACTCCTTTAATGTTGACAGGGAGAGGAAATCGGTGATAGTACGTAAAACAAACAACTAGTTTTATAGTTCTTATGAATAGCTTTTATCACATTCTTTAATATTACCTTCATTGGTTAAGTATGTGATATGTCTCCCAATGTAGCTTTGTTTTAAAACAAACAAAATGCATAATATACAAAATATATTAATTGTTATTATTTTCCCGTGTTTATTACTAGCTGACGTAAGCGATTAATGCAAGGGGGAGGACATATGGGGGTTAGGTTTGAACTCTGACCCCCTATATCACTCCTCTGTAGGACACTAAGGATATTTGTCAAGTTTGGTAACAATCGGCCCAGCGGCTCGCCAATTATAAGTGGACATACACATGCGCGCGCGTATTATGGATCAGATACATGCATATATATTTATTATGAAGACAGTTTTGCATTATCAACTCGGTACATTGACTTAAACTTAACTTTAATCTCTCAATCTGGTCGGATCTCTTGAGATATTATTGGGACTATGGCCGAAAACGTAGATAAGAAATTTGTGGCTTGTAATCATTATAAATGTTTATTTTATGATCTATTATACTCCTAATTAAACCTGTCTAAGGAACCAGCTACTTTAATTACTGAGTTAATATTTATTTGTGATTTATGTAGGTTGATCAGGAGTTATTGATAATCCCACACTTTATTATAATTGGAAATTAACTCAAAAAATGTCGTTACCTAAGCACTCTTTACGTAATATTTTTACTAATCTCTATTTAATCCTGGCGTGGCGGGTGTTAATGAACTCCAAAGTAAGTATGTTCAGTATGCTCCTGCCCCCCCAGTGACACAGCGGTATGTCTGCGGACTTACAACGCTAGAAACCGGGTTTCGATACCCGTGGTGGGCAGAGCACAGATAGCCTTTGTGTAGCTTTGTGCATAATTAAAAACAACAACAATATTCTCCTCGCGCCTTAGCGGTAAGTCTACAGACTTATAAAACTAAAAATTGGGTTTCGATACTCTTGTTTGGCAGCGCACAGACAGTCCATTGTGAAGCTTTGCGCTTAAGAACTAAAACTACACCAAAACTGAGAGTGACGTCCTCTCGTGTAAATTTTAACAACATACAAAGCTTTTTCAGTTTTAAGAAGATTTTGTTGGCTTCGAACAACATAATTTTCACCACCTCCCCCCGTCTACCCAACGTTGATATTGTGTTTTATCTATTCAGGATGAATGTGTTAGTTAAGCTGCAATATCTGATATTCCAATCAAAATATAAATCTACTTTCAAATGAGTCAGGCGTGGCCGATTGGTTAGCAACCACATGCAACTTCTCTGTTTAAACTTTATTATTTATTACCTCATTCTCGTTGTTAAGCAACTGCTAACTACTTCAGCATTTAATTTTGGTTTTGGTTTCAGTATTAGCTGCATTGCTAAGCGATGAGTTTTAGAAGAAATTGGCAATCTAATTATTATCACTACAATAAAATGTCCAGAACTTTCCAGAAAATTAACCTCCAGTACAAGAATGAACCTGGTGAGTTTCTTCTGGAGTTGGTGCCGGGCGTGGCCAAATGGCTAGCATGCCCGGCCTGTGAATAATACAGTTTGCGATCCATTGCCATGAAAACACGCTCCGCACTTTGTACCGTGGGTGCGAAATAAAAAAAAATGAAAGTTAAACCCCCACTATTCAGTCATACAAGAGTTGGTAGTGGGCGCTGTTGGTTAGTTATTTTCTTTCTGTTTATGGGTTAAAATTAGGGACGCCCTTTCAGCCGTGGAGGCGTTATAATGTGACGGTAGTTGGTAAAAGAGTAGCCCAAGAGTTGGCGGTGGGTGATGATGACTAGCTGCCTTCCCTCTAGTCTTACACTGCTAAATAAGGGACGGCTAGCACAGATAGCCCTCGTGTAGCTTTGCGCGAAACTCAAAAACAAACAAACACAATACTTACAATATTAGATAATGTTTCTACACTTGAATGAATTTATATGATTACTATAATTTTTTATTATTTCATCAACTCTACTGTACATTCAAATTTGTTTTCATGGAAAACACAAGATTAAAAGTATTTGAATAATATGGCATTTGTTCAACTATTTAAAGTTAAAAAAAAGGCACCCTCTTTTTTCTGTCCCTAATCGTAATTCCAGTATTCAGAATGTGACACAAAGTTTCTTCAGTAATAAGAGTTTTATTTCAGTAACTTAAAATTCTTCTTTTTTTTTTTTACCTAAATTACTCCATAAAGGCAAATTTGGCTTTTAATGGCCCACTTGGCCTTTGCTAGTATTGTTTATTTTTAGCCCAACTCAATTTTGCTCAGCGATTATTTTTTTGTTCCAGAAAGATAATTGTAGTTATTGTGCCAAACGTTCCAGACTGTATTCACAGCAAGAGGTTCTTGGATCGATTTTCCCTTTACTTGCTGTCTTTTGTAACATCCGCTACGCGGCTGTAGAATCGATTGTACTTTGGAAAATTCGTATTTAGATTATAAATTCTTACGCTTTTGTCTTGCTTTTATTTCCCCCCGTCATTTGAAAATTATGCAGCCATTATGGGAAGTGATTAGGATTTATTTCAGAAAATAAATGAGTTTATTATTATTATATTTTAAACCGTGTGGATATATTTAACATGCATTTGTTCAGTAGATAAAATAAATCAAAATTTTTTAGGCTAAAGCAATGTTACCCCTGAATGAAAAGCCAACCGATATGGAAACCCACGTGACTCCTAGTCATCTTCAGGTATACTTAGGCCTAGCTTCGTTGCTATCAAAAAATAACAGTCGCTTGGAGGAAGCAGACGCTGTTAAGTATTGTTTCTTTAGCGTATTTCCCATTGTCTTTTAACTAAAGTGTGAATGAGTGTGAATATAACAATGCAGTTTAGC